TATTATTATTATTATTATTATTATTATTATTATTATTATTATCATTATTATTATCATTATTATTATTTGTAAATTAAATTCTCTTTCGAAAAGTGTTACAGACAGATGGACCATGGAAAAAATGAAATGGAAAAAACAGACTGCACATTTGTTTATGCGGTACTATACACAGTGTGACAGATTCAAAGTGAAACTGCGACAAACAGACGCATTTATAACTAATTTCTATTTCAATGGAAAAGTGTGACAGACAGATATGAAAAGTACCAGCGCATGAGAGACAGAGAATGGGACAGACAGACAGACACATTGTTGTTAAGTTCCACTTTTCGAAACACTGTGACAGACAGACAAATATTAATAAGTGACTATCGGCTGGTGAAAACCGAAGATCATCCTTAACCTTATCAGTACGAAAACGTTCTACACGAGTATATATCAGGCAGAAATATTGCAATTAAGTTTCCTGTAATCCTTGGTATTGTAATTCACACAATGCTAACGATTTTAGAGCAATTCAGTTTCTTGAAGCCAGTAGGGGAAAAACATTCATGAATGAAAACATCGCCATTTATTGCCCAGTTTTCAAAATTATATGTAGTGCAATAATGAATTTAATCTATCCATGATATATTTTTCCTTACCTCTATCATGTCTTTTCATTTTCTCTATTCAATTTTAACGTTTTCTTGGTCTATATATATGCCGCAATCCAAAATACTAAAATTATTTTTCGTAAGAATTATAATGGGTGAATCAAATAGACTGGCGTCGAAAATAGGCCTCTTGGTTATCTAAGCTTATACTCTGATCGCCTCAAGCGTTATACAACTCGTATTCTAGATATGTGGCTTCCAAATTATCCCTCTTTTTGGTAGCATTTGATGCAATGAGGGAAACAGGTTGGTCTTTGCTGAACGTAGAGCAATAACATCACGATAGACTATACTAGCATGACTGACAGTCGTTGGTCGACCACGGGGTTGGTCGAGCAGTCGATGTTCCGACGGAGATAATTGAACAGATAGCATGCATGAATAATAAAAACCTCTGGACCAGTGAGTGACGGCAGAAACCGAAGTTAGTGACAGATAAGCTAGAATATCTCTATTTTTATCAAAGCTATTTCTTTTTTTCGATTCAGTATTTTTTATTTTTTTGAAACAAATAAAGTTCAGTCAGGGCTATTGGCTCTTTCTGTATGCGAGCATGAGTAGTGGACTTGTGTTGATTGTGCTGATATATCCAATGCTATTTTTCTTTAATTATGGCGGTGACAGGTGGCTAGATCAGACTTGGACCATTACGATAATATGTTTTGGTGATTTTACTGGCGATCAAATGGCTAAAACTCTAGATTATTATGTTAATATTATTCAAGGCCTTAACTCTTGCATCAAGTATCTGCCGTGTAAAATTGAGATCGAGATTTGATGCCGACTTAGGGACCGTTCATTTTTTATCAGGGAGGGGAGGCCGGTTGAAATGTGTGTGGGGGGGGGGGGGGCATGTAAAAAAATCCAGCTTATAGAGGGAATCCACATGTAGAAGAATCAATGTCAAAAGGGGGTGGGGGGGCATTCAGGTATAGAACATGAAGGGGGAGGGGCAGCAGATGTCAACAGCAATATAGAGGGGGGGGGGGTAGTTTTTCTTGTATGGACTCTTGCTGGAATTCCACCGCCCCCGCCCCCYCCCTGATAAAAAAAAGGACGGTCTCTTATAGTACATCGATACTAATCTTTAATTCTCAACCTTTCAATCTAAAATACAAGAGGTGTAGTCTGCTAATTATAATAGCTCTCCTAAAGCAGATGGGAACTCGTCTTTCTAGGATTTATCATAGACTAGTGCATATTTTAAACAGCGCAAAGCAAATTTAATTGGGACTCGAAAGAAAACGCTTATTTTACTGATTAAACAGAATTGGCGTAAGTAGGAAAGGAATGAAAAAGGAGAAAAGAAAGAAAAATTCTCGAAAAAAATGTCTGATATTGAGAAAAAAAAATTTAACGGGACGACGAAAACAGAACATGAACGAAAAGAAAAAAAAGGGGAGGTGAAGAGAAGAAACAAGATTAAATAATGAAGAGCAAGTAAATAAAGACTCAGATTCAACATATGTTATTTACACTCGACCTAATATTCGACCAAATACAGAAGATATCCGGTTTTTTTGAAAATGGAATAAAATCAAAATTAACTCACCTCTCGTGAAGTCTGAAAATCTTGCATCACGGCTTTCCTTGTTCGTCCACATCTCGTACTGCGGAAAATACAAAACCAGTGCCTTCACGCAAATTATAACTCCCTATTCCTTTGCTATAAATCCGGTCTAATTTAGCTCTATATCCTAGCTATTGCTGCAGTTTTTTAGACTGATTTAATCTATGGGAGATGATCATAAGCTCGAGTTGACTTTCAAACTGACTTGACTTGTGCACTGTGGATGAAGTTGCGAAAATGACAGCCTTTCTTAGAAAGATTTTCAGGACGTATGAAAATAAATCGGGCAGTTAAATTGTCTTAAACCACGAATCAGATAGGCATACAGCTTAGTTGTTCTTGGTACTGCACTGCTTACGTCCAATCACTTTTTCCTCTGGAAATCCTTGCTAGTTGTATACTTAAATATTAAGTCTAACTGCATGCAGCCCTGAGTCAAGAATCAGGAACTGAACTTGGACGTTTCAATTCCACGGCAGGTGCATCTGCATGGCCGAATATTAGCTATCCTAAAATTAAACTGCATACATCAAGCCATTAAAAGACTATACGCAAAAACCGCTTGTCTATAGTAGTTTATCATCTTTATTGGAGAGGTCGTCTTATCCTCCTCCGCTTTCGTTCGGTGATTCCATTGGCTGCTATAGGGTAAACTTGGCACTTATGATACTTATGGTATGCCTTCCAGTGAGAATCAGACAACAACTTCCTCAGTTCTTTTAGTATGCATATCCTGAGGTATATATGACAGTGAATGAAAAATCTTTACTAATTACGATTATATTTTTTATATATCCGTTTTGGAGGTGAGCTGACAACCTGAAAATTAAAGAGATAATCGTGATTGGGGGCGAGCAGGAAAAAACATTTTCGTTTATAGCTACAATCTTGGACAAAAATAGTTAGCAATTTTTCATGTAATTATGAAATAATACAATTGCCAACATAATAAAAATGTACTGTATCCCCTCCCCCAAGGAATCTCGGCTTTCCTTACCAAATACATTTTTTAAAAAACATTTCCAAAAGCCCAACAGGCCCAACAGCGCAATAGCCAAACAGCCCAATAGACCAACGGCCTAACAGCGCAATAGCCCAACAGCCCAACAGCCCAAGAGGATTTGACGTGATAATGAGTAG